GTCTTGGGACCGCCAGGTACGCACGCGACTACGTGGCAGCAGGAGCTGCAAGCTCGATGGCGTAGGCAGCGGCAAGACCACGTACTGCAATGGCATGCAGCAGTACCTCCAGGCGGCCGGCCGCGACGTCGCGGTCGTCAACATGGACCCTGCGAACGAGCAACTACCATATCCTTTTCTTCGCCACCCGTGTGAATGCATCCTCTTCTTGGCTCTGGATAATGTTCTCCTTGACGGCCATGGTGCGATGTACGTATGTAGCCGACATTGACATCATGGAGCTCGTCTGCCTTGAAAACGTCATGGACGAACTCAACCTTGGCCCGAACGGCGGTACGTCTACGTGCCATCATGGCGATTGCGTCCGTCTTGCTCATCGCGGAGGCTTGGTAGGTCTGGTCTACTGCATGAACTACATTGACGAGCACTTTGACTGGCTGGCGGAGCGCCTCGGGCGACTCCAAGGTAGACTCCGTCGTCGCCACAACCCCTTTTTCCAACCAAATTGTACGATAGAAAAGTACATTTTATTCGACTTTCCCGGTCAAGTTGAGCTGTACACGCACGAAGTCAGCGTGCACAACATCCTCCAGAAGCTCCAGAAGCTCCATTACCGGGTACGACTCGATCGCGACGCGAGTTATAGCCGACGATGACGCGCTCTGTAGATATCGGTCGTGCACCTTGTCGACGCGCACCACTGCACGGACAGCTCCAAGTTCATTTCGGTCGTGCTTCTCAGTCTCTCGTCCATGGTGCGCCTCGAGTTGCCGCATATCAACGTCCTCTCCAAGATGGACCTGATCCAGCAGTATGGCAACCTCGGTACGTTCCTCGTGAGAGTTCTTTTGCTGACAATTGTATCCCGACAACTAGCGTTCAGCCTCGAGTTTTACACGGACGTATTGGATTTGCGCTACCTCCTCGACCGTCTCGAAGCGCAGGAGTTTGGTGAGCTCCACGAAGACGACGACGACCCGTATGCGCTCCCAGCAAACGACCTCCCGCACGCTGTCCGGTGCAAGCAAAAGCTCCGCGAGAAATTCCGCCGCATGAACGAAGTGCTCATCGAGGTGATCGAAGACTTTAGCCTCGTCAGCTTTGTGCCGCTCCAGATCGAAGACGTCGAGAGCCTCCAGCGCGTGACGCAGACCATCGACAAGTCGAACGGCTACGTCTTTAGCGACAAGCCCGCGGGCGGCATCTTCAAGGACTCGGACCTGCAGTCCGATCGCATCGGCGACATGGAGGAGAAATACATGCGCTGAGCGTGCCACGTCATGCTAAAAACACGCACTTTTTCATTGGCTGACCTTTGCACACCGCCTTGCATAACGATAGCATGATACAACTAAGGTGCTCAAGTGCATGTCGTCACGATATCCCACCTGATGCACAAGCGACCAGCGGTTGCCGAGCGGCGCTCACGGACAGAGAGCGACGACACCCCATAGATTGGGTGTTTTTATCTGCACTGTCCTCTGAGAAACCAATCACCGTGCGATATGGCGCGGTATTTTGACCAATCACGTGCGTTTCTAGCGCCAAGTTGCACGATCTTCTTGGCAGTCGAGCTTTGTCCGCGTCCAGCATCCTCCATCGCCAGCATGCCCCAGCGCCCGAGCATGGTGCCCTTCCTCATCGAGAAGGAGGGCCGCAGCGAGGTCGACATGGCGCCGGCCACCGAGTGTCTTACGCCCAAGGAAGCGCCGTCGCCATCCTCGGCGGCAACGACGTCGCGCCCATGGCACTGGGTCCATACCCAGCTGACGCAGAAGGTCCTGTACGTCATCCTCTTTTGCCTCTCGACCTTCTTAAGCTCATCGATCGCCTGCGGCTGGGTCGCCAACGCGGTCCATCGCCCGACGTCGACGCCCTTCTCGCTCGCGCGAGCCCAAGCCATCCTCGAGGCCCACGGAACGGCGTACGACGAGTGCATCCAGGACGCACTCGCCCACGAGATGCTCGCTCTCGTCGCGACATGGAGCCACGAGCAAGAGGTTGTCGCGAGCATCGCAGCTGCCAACGAGGTGGCGATCCTCGCTTTGGCGAATGCGACCTCGGCCTGTACGACCTCCTGCTTTTGCTTTCGCTTTTACTGGAACCTGGAACCTGACGACTGTGGGTAGGCAAAGCGACCCTTGTCGAGCTGCAAGACACGTTTCTTCTATCGTCGTCGGGCAGCGTGCTCTGCTCGCCCGATGACCAACTGGCCCTCGAGACGCTGCAGAACGCGTATTCGCTTACGCAGCCGCCGACGACCAATCGTGTCTTGATTCGCTTCTCCAACGCCCAAGCCCTAGCCGACGCCACAGCGCTGAACCGGACGCTCACAAAGTTTCAAGAAAGTATGAACGCAGACGCGCTTGCTCTTCGCGACGTTGTCTCGGCCGGTGCATCGTCGCTCCAAACCAACATCGACAAGACCCACGCGGCCGTTCTCACGCTCCAGAGCCAGTGGTCGACAGCGACAAGCGACACGGTTGATATCCACGGCGTTCTCAGCTCGCTCCAAGGCGCCAAGGCTTCCGCGGCCGCCATCGAAGCCGTCCTCGCCAAGGCCAAGCCAGCGCTGGCCGCGGTCGGAATCGTCCTTCCGCCAATTCGCATTGCGCTGGACCTGGAGACGTCCATGACGCAACTCCTTCTCTTTGGCTCCATGATGAACCGATCGATTGCGGCGGTTGCGGACGCGCAAGAGGCGACGCAAGCGGACGCACGCGCGTGGGTCGCAGGACTTGGCAACGCCATAAACGATGCCAACGCTACGACCGCCAACTTTGCATCGCAGGTCGCGCGGTACACAACGCCCAACGCCTCGTCGTCGTTGCACCGGGCGACCTTTGGCAACTGGACACTGCGAGATGCGCTGCTTAGAGAGCGAGGTGGCGCTGTCGTCGACACGTATCCGGCGTGGTGCAAAGTCGTGTGCTTGATAGATTGATACTAAACACAAAACGGGTGCTTTGGTAGGAATGCATTGACCACGGTGCTGCCGGCGGGGACCGCGACCGAGGACGATGCACCCGGCAGCGATCGACGAGGTGCGTACGGGGTCAATGTCCAAGGCAACGTGGTCGCGACGTCGCTTCCACTCGACTTGCTCGTTCGACTCGCGCTCTGCGTGCTCGTGACCGTTCGGATTGCACAAGACGCATTCACTGAGATCCCCGAGGTGTCTGCTGTCGCCAACACGAAGATGCCCCAGGATCTTATCTGCGTACTGCACTAGATCGACAACCAAAACACATCGCGTCTTCAAACAACAGTACGACTTCGTATCGTACAAGCAGCGTCTTCAAGGTGCGTAGGCGGACTGGCTCGACGTGCTCCGTTGCCGCCACTCGCTCCTGGATGTGCTCTCGAGCGTCTGCCGCCTCCGTCTCTGGCCGTTCCTCGTTGCTGTCCTTCTCTGGTACGTGTGACCACTCAGCTCTCGGATCCTCCGCACCGATTGCGTAGTGTCGTGCTCACGGCCATGACCGTGCTCATTATCCTCCCATTCGAATCGCACGCACAGCGAGG